TCCTCCCCTACGTTTATTGTTATATATATATATATATATATATAGCATCTGATGATTAGTCATGTTATCTGAAATATAAATTATTTATCAGCCTGACTATATACTACTTGTAATGGTGTGGGATATAAAGATAACATGGTTTTTTACTTTCCTATTTTAATGTATAATATTGTTAAATTTAGTGTATATGTGTAGTTTTCATATAACGTGATTTAGAAAGACGATAAATCTATTTCGTTCTAGCTGCCTTTCTTCATATGTTATTCTTTGAAAATAACACTTGTTCTTTCTATGAGAGTCTGGTTCTAATCTCTACATAATACAAGAATGTAGATAGCTGTGTCCTCCAGTGATAGGTCAGATGATATTTCGAAATTACAACCTTTCTTGTTTGAATGAGAGTGACCAGCCACGTGGGTAAAGGCTGACACTCTCGGTAAATCGGATGTTACTTATTAAGTAAGGAACATTAGGGTTAACAGTCTGGAGCATACTCTCAAAGAAGACAGTTTGGTATAGTCTGGAATACAATCTCAAAAAAGATAGTTAACTTACAATTGAATAGAAGCAATAGACCAGTGTCAAAGCAAACAACCACTTTGTTTTATGGTATAATAAAGAATGCTAATTTGCATTTTACATAGTGTGTAGTTTCTTTATTTCATGCTCACTAGCTCAGATATTCAAAGAAATTTATATCTACACTTTAATAGAACATATGTATCCCATCACTTGAAGGAAAATTAGTTTAACCATAATAAGTCGCATTGGTCTCACACTGTCTTGTTTCAGTTGTTACTTTGAAGTGAATTAGCAGGTTTTAAAGTACTCCAAAGTATTCATGAGCAATGATTAGGTCGGATGAATGGAACCTGGCTAATGGCAGTAAGCTACTGAAAATTGGCTACATGTGCTTCACTGTGTCACCAGTAGAATGTGTTGGTGTACAAATGGTTACAAACAAGCTTCACAAGACCAATCTACATATATGTATATATATCAGATGCCCAGTGAGGTGAATTTCGTTCGCAATGTTGCCAAGAGCACATCCAGTGGACCAAAGATTTATAACGCAGTTTTCTTTTTCAGAGATGAGTCGTAGCTTCATTCTGTAACTAGATTGTGTTTACTCATTTGGATAAAATCCAGAGCTAGATCCAAACTCATTTTCATATTGGAATGTGACACATACAGCGGCAGTGAATGTATGGTATGTAGTAAGTAATGGTGGACGTACCGTCTAGTACATCCTGAAGAATGATACCATTATTTCTATATATTGTAGAAACGATATCCTTCAACCATTTATGCTAACAATGCTGATGCAATTTTCCCTGATTTCAGCTTAATAGATGATAACACCCACCCCCATTATAATCTGGTTGAAATAGTCCTTGAATAAGAAGGAATACCCTGTTGGCTCTGTTGGCTTTAATCACATTGGGCATGTGTAGGATGCTCTCGGAAGACACATCGCATTCCGTCAGCTAAACACTAAGGTTGTCCTGGAAACAATTATTTCAGAGAAGTGGTCGAGGATACCTCAGGGACTGATCAACATATTAGTTTCAAATATGTGACATCGGTGCCAGGCTGCCCTTTCTGTTCGTAAGTGAAAGTAAAGATATAAAGTCATCTCTACCAATTGTTCGTTTACGAGCGAAGGCTGAATGACCAATTATTTGCATTTTAGATCACATGACAGACCGTCAGATGCCTGATTTTCATGAAATCAGTTGATTTTTTAGCACAAACCTACACAATAGGCTATCTGTGCTTTATCCATTACGAGGAATTGA